AAGGCCAGCCTGGTGTACATAGTGAGTTCCAGGACAGCTGGGGCTACAGGGAGACCCTGTCTCAAAAAGACCAAAAATAATTAATAAATAAATAAATAAAATAAAAATAATAAATTTTTAGTTAAATTAAATGACACTCAATAAAAAAAATGTGGTAAATGCTTTAGAGATATTTATAGCTCTTCAGTCGCTTTTAACTTAGAAAATTAGGAGATCTGAACTATAAAGAGAGCAGATTCCTTTTACATTCTTTAGAGAAATTTAAGGAATTTTGAATAATGATATCTACAAACTAGCTTCCAAAATAAAACATAAAGACCTTCACCTATTGTTTAAACCTTTTAAAGAAGTCTGGTTTTTGAAAAAAAATAAAATCTGCATTTCTTATTCCTTTAAGGATACGGTGATGTGGGGGCTGGTGAGATGGTTCAGTCAGTAGTGTGTTTGCCACTCAAGCATGAGGATCTGAGTTCAGAAGCCTAGCACCACACAGACAGCCAGGCATGGTGGCATGCATTTGTAATCCCAGCTCTGGGAAGATGACAGTAGGGTCCCTGGAATTTGCTGTAGGCATTTTAGGGTATCATTCAGTCCTAGGTCCCTGTGAAGGGCCCTGTCTCAAAATACAAGATGGTCAGCTCCTGAGGAACACCACCTAGGGTTGGCCTCTGGCCACACACACACACACACACACACACACACACACACACACAGGAAAAAGCAGCTGTCCTTCCCACTTCAATCCCATGAAGCCTTTTCAGGTTGAAGGAATGTATGACAAAACCTTTTCTTCACTCAGGTGAGATGCTGAAGTGCTCCACGTTCCCTTGTGGAATATGAGTTAACCCATCAGAACCAGAAGTCCAAACTCTCAAGTTGGAAAATTCAAGATTATCTTCACTCTTGAGCAGAGAGAAAGGGTAGACATTGAATTATTTTTTTCCAAAACTTGGAAATTTTTAGGGTAACTTTCCAGAACAGTATTATTTTATTGTTCATTTAAACATCCTAAAACAAAAGCTGAACGCCCAATCGTTAACAAAATAACACAAGAACTTAGAAAAATTATTTTCAACCTAAGCTTGCACAGCTGACTCATGGCTAGCCTAATCAAATTGAGTCAACCAACAATTTGATTCACGCACTGGATAAAAGTTACCCAGATTTGTTTTTCATTTCATCTGTTTAAATAGTAAGCCTACTGTTATTTTGACCAAGTTCCTTGTATGTCTGTTTTTCAGAAATAAGAGAAAACAAAAACAAAATCTGCTTGGAAAATATGTGAGCAAAAAGAACACATTCTGTTACTAAGAGGAAAAATATCCAACCATTCAACATTTATCTGACTCTTTTCCAATATATTACTTTAGAAAATGTCTGTCAAAAAATGACCAACTTACAATTTTTTATGAATTAATATTTGAGGGCTGGGCATTAACTCCCAGAGTGCTTATCCTCTAAAACCAGAGCACTGTGGTAACCCCAGTAATCTCAGTAATCAGGAGGTGGAGAAGGAAGATCAAGAGTTCAAGGTTATCCTTGGCTGTATAGCAAGTTAAAAGCCAACTTTGGCTACATGAGACTCTCCCTCAAAAAGGTCAGCAAACAAAGAAGTAACATTTAATTGATGACTTAGAAATTTTTTAAAACATCTTCCAAGTTTTAAATTAACTTTCTGGTCTCAAGCATTCCTTGATTAACCTATGTTCACAAGCAGTGTGCTGTGCTTTGAGTCTATGGATAGGCAGCATCAGGGCAGAAGGGAGAGAAGACTTTCTGTAAAAGAACCCAGGGGATTCTACCCACCAACACCACACTGACAGGACATCTGGCTTTGCCATTCAACAGCTCCAAACTGGTTCCCTCCTCTATAAAACAATCAGATCTACTTCCTCATGACCTTAAGGGGGGAAGCAATTTTAAGAATCAGGAAAAAAAAGACACTAGCCACAATAGAAGTGATGGATAAATCTGACACATTAAATGCAAGAACATCTGTTTAAA